GACTAAAGGTCAGTTTTATATTATTGGATATGGTAACATGAGAGCACATGTGCCGCATCATTGAAACTTCTGTATTGTTAGCCAGGTGTAGCTGAAAGGTCAATATAAAAATTATATATATATAAATGTATAATGTTATGAGATTTAAGCTATTTAGTCTAAACATTTACGTTTTCATGTTATAATTTGTTGTCATTCTCGAATGAAAGAGGCATAATTTATATTTATTTCCTAATTTTTTATGATGGTTACAAGATCGGTAAAATCTACTGAACCCATAGAGAGATTCATTAGTGAAAATAACTGATAAAATAAAAAGTTTTTTCTTAAGAAATGTTTGATAACTATCTGGACATTATAAATATTTCGCATGTGAAATTTGAAAATTTTCTGATTCATAAAAGTATTTTTAATCTTAAAATGAAAATTACTTTGCATGTTGGATAGGCAACATGCAAAAAGAAAAAAGGCATGAAAAAACACTAGCTTAACAAACCTTAAGACTTAATAAAAAATTTGATATTTTGGGTATGAAAGCATTATAATGTTTACCGACCCACTAAACATTTGTAGGAAAATCAGTATCTTTATTAGAACAGTGCTTTTATAAATACAAAATTTCTAGAATAATACAAAAGAATTCTAATCACAGATACCGAAACCTATTAGTCCACTTATTTTAAGCCTAAGATTAGTCAAGCCTTTACTAAGTATGGCCTATATTCGAAAGAGATAAATTAACACTGTAACTTGTGTACATTTTTGCTTTAGTTTAGTTAGGGCTAAGCTTTACTGTACTTAATACTATCAATAAATAAACTTATAATGTTATTCTACAAATTAACACTAGACATTTTTCAAAACTTTGTGAAGCTTTTAATATGTTGTTGTACAAATTGTCTTCTAAACTATATTTACATCTGTTGAAATAAGGTGTGTGTGCATGCGCATTTAGATAGTAAGGTGCACATGCACTTTTAGGACAGACAAAAACTGAGTATTATTAGATCAGATTTTAGGCAATAACTGATGAAGAAGTTAGGCTAGAAACTTGTCAATTATTTTTGAAATTTTTATGCTAATGATGAAATTAGGAAAATTCTGAAACGTTTATGTTTTTTATTCTATCAGCAATTTTGTAATTTTCTATTTTTGCAAAACAAGCCTTGAGCTTATTTTGGGGTAACAATATCATGCCAACAATAGTCATGTGCAGATTGAGGTACATAGTTCAAAGCCTGTTTCTGATCAGTTGCCAAATCAGCGTATTTCCCATTTTACAAGTCGCATTTCCTAGAGATTGCTTTTTAAAAAACTGAGATAAACACAATGGTATGGCTTATCGTCAATAAAAATGGAGGATTTGGGAGTGATAGATTTATATTTCCAGGACTTTTTCAGAACCTCCTGATAAACTCGTTGTTTTTCGAGTTTAGCTAGAGTTCCACATTGTATTGGTGAAGGTGCTGGTGTAAATTTTACCTAGATAAGCACCCAAAGGAAGTACATGGGGTGTAACTCCAGACAGCAATCTTTATCAGGTCATACAAGTGGAAGACTCCATTTTGTCTAATCCAAGCTATATTCTTTGCCTGTATAGTAAAATGGGAGGAGTCAAAGAAGCCTAGTGTGTCACTGTTCTAGTACTTGCACACAAGTTGTCGGACAGCCAATACATGTAGTGTGGCTGGGGCAATTTCAGACCGTACCTTGTGTGCACACCTCAACTCTACCATCAGACTTTATGAGACAGACTCTAGCTGTTTTGTACTGTGTGTGCTCACCTCAGTTCTACCATCCAGCTGCTGGAGAAGGTCACATTAGATATGTAATAAGTGTTCGTGTGCATGCCTCAATTCTACTTGTAAGGCTCTATGGGATGCACTCGAGCTGCAGAAGAAGGACACATTAGTGATACATCAAAATGTCATAAAGTGTACATAAGTTTAAACTCTACCATCAGATTCTAAAGGGCTGACACCAACTGGAGGGGGATGGCAGTATAATAATGGAGTGTGGACCAGTATAAAGTTTATTCTTCTCGACTCTACTGAACAGACATTGGCTACAGGAGGAGGACATATCAGATATGTATGTATTGTAAGGTGAGTGCTCACTGCATCTCAACTGAACAGAATATAATCTGCAGGAGGAAGGCACCATGTTATGAATTATTAATCTATATGTAATATGTGCACACCTCAATTCCATTGAACAGACCTTTGAACAAGAGGAGTGCACAGTTTTACAAAGAGTGCTCACCTCAAGTCTGCTGAACATGCAAAAGCAGCGGGAGGAGGTCATGAGTGATGTACATGATGGGTGATCTGCACTACACTAACAGTTCACCACTGCCCCACTTCTCATCATGTTGGTAATCCTTTTTTGTTGCCCCAACAACCAAGTCCAAGTAGTGAGGATTATCCATGGTCCACGACCACAGAAGCTAGAAACTGATAAGTGGCAAGGGTCTCCCGTGCTCCACTCGATAGTGGGGGGGGGGGGGGATTTGCATTGAGGTGACCCTGAGGGAGTGCCCAGATCCCCATTGGGCCCTCAGTCTGGAAAAGTCTTACACTGGAGACAGTGCAATGGATGACCTCGAAAACTTATTTTTTAAAAGCCAGCTAGCTCGTGCCAAAAAAATAGGCATAACACTTCCCTGGTGCTGGCTTTTTCCATGATAGTCCATAGATTAGGTATGTTCTGGATCAGACAATTGAGTGGTAGGATCCTATGAAATGAAAAAGGAGCCCTAAAAGGGGAAGATTACATATTTATCACAAAAATGGAGGTGTGATTGGAGATTAGTAGTCCATGGAAGCCAAAACCACCAGAAGATAAAACAGCCAAAAGGTGTAAAGAAGGTGATAAATATGTGAAGTGGCCACATGCCTGTCTGGAGGAGCTCATTATAGGGACAGAGAAGAAGAGATGCTAGAGTGTGAAAAAGGTGAGGAATCAAATGAGAAGAAATGCAAAAAGAGTCTGAAATCATCCATATCCCAAATGAACATGACAAGCAGAGGAGTCAATGGATCGAAGCAGTAAGGGTAGAAGGAAAGGGGTCCCAAGTTATGGAAAGATGAATGCAGGGATCTCGAAAGGGAGAGGTCCATGAAAATGCACACCAAACAGTTCAGAAGGACCCAATCCAGGTACAAATGGTCCAAGAGGTGAGAGACAGAAGGAAGGGAGATAGGAGAGAAGTACTGTAAACCATCTGGGCAGATAAAGTTCGAGGATAGATGGGATGGTCTAGGGAAGAAAATAAACAAGTGTGGAGGAAGAGGGAGTGAAAAGCATCTACAGAATAGACTTCCAAACAATAGTAGTCATGTGGGAGAGGACACTAAACTGGATAAAAAAGGCAGTACAAAAGGCAGGAAGACAATTGCAAAAATTGGGCATGCTCAAGATTGTGCAAAACCCCAATAAGGACACAGTCTAAAAAGGGTGTAGAGCAAGCAAAGGAGAAAACCTACAAGGTTGTTCACAGAATGAATATCAGGAGGAAAGGGGTGGTGAAAGGACCAGTAGCAAAAGACAGTGGTAAGGTGAGAAGAAAGTGACAAGGATAATGCCACATAAGCAGAAAGCCCAGTCTGATGGATGATGGAACAGGCAAAATCCCTGTGTGAGGATGGAGGGAAGACATCCCATGAAAAGAAGGGATGCGTGAGGGTGAAGCAAGAAAGAGAGGGAAAATTTGGGAAAGAAAAGGGGAGTCCAAATGACAAGCTGACCAATACAGAACCTGTCAATGAGCCCAGAGTAGAGATGGGTAGCAAGATCATCTAAGAGGGGCATGTCTAACCAATAGCAAGCCCCACAGAAAACCAGGGGTTGTAGAGACCACTACTTTGATAAAATGTAGACTGGCTGGGAGAGGAGGGCCGCCACCAAGACATAAGCATTAGTAAATGAGTAACCAAATGAGAATGGGCCCAAAAGTATGTATAATGCCTGAAAGCAAAAGGCCCTGGAACGAACAGTGAGAATGTTGGTAATGGTGATGTGGAGTGGAGTTGATGCCTGTCCAACATCAGAAGTCATTCATCCATCCAGAAATGTACTAAAATCAGAGAGGGAAGGGTCAAAGAAGGGAGAGGTCTGAATTAAGTGGTGGTAAAGGGTGTGTTTTATTATTGCAAAGCCACATCGAGCTATCAGCTGCATCTACCAAGAGGAATCAAACCCCTGATTTTAGCATTGTAAATCTGAAGACTTGCTGCTGTTCCACCGGGGGAGTAGGTGGTAAAGGAATGCAGGACATAGTGTGGGCATGGTCCAGTCACCATAAGAATTCCTCAAGGAGAGGTTCACAATAGAGGTTAATGTACCTCAAGAAGAAAATGCTGAGTCTGTAAGCTCCACTGTTGGAGACACATGAGTGCATGTCCTAAAGAAAGGGATCCAGTGAAACCAGAGACCCTAGATGCAGAGGAAACTCTTATGCAGATAGAGAAAGAAGTGTACAGCCAAGTGATCAGACATATTAGAACTTGCAGGCAAAGAAGAGAAGGCCAAACTCAATTGAGACAAGAGAAGAAGAAAATGCCCAAAGTACTAAGCACTAAATGGGCATAAGAAAGGATTGAGATCCCAGGATAAGTCCCCCCCCCCTTCCCCCAACCAAGGAGCCACCATAAAAAAAAAGAGATAGGAGAAGAGATACAAGAATGGGCTAACAGAAGTAAATAGTCCAGTAAAAGAACATTAGCCCTGGGGTATGAGTATGTAAAACAAATGGCCTTACAATACCACAGAATACAAGAGGGGCCATTGTCAAGGCAAAGAGAAAAGCAAAGAATAAGAAAATACAAAAAAGACAGATGGACCACAGAAAACAAAGGGAGGACATGCCAAGAACGACATGTGGGAAGATATCTAACATAATGACTATAGCAGACTGCAGACTGAGTGAAAAAAGATCATAGCTGGGGCCAAAGGGAGGAGAAAAGAAACTAGAAAAGGAAGTGAAGAGAAGAGAAGTAGAAAAAAAGAAAAATGACCATCAGCAGGAAGTGAAACCAACAGATGAAGAGATGGGTACCCACAGGATCATACATGTATGATAGTCATGTATGATAAGAGTGATGAACTAGACACATGTAAGAGGGGGGGGGAGGAAGACCTGAAATATGGAATGAAAATGTGAGGGAGAAGGCTGAACCAGATGAGGAATAAAGGGCAAAGCCAAGAAAGAAGAATACCTGAGAAGATAACAAGGATAGCAGCAGTATAACATCAGTCCAAGTTACAAGGGAGAAAGAAAATCTACTAACAACAATTGGGCAAAGAAATGGAGCCAGATGAACAATAAATACACAAGAAAAAGGGAGGAACACAATAAAAACCACAAACCAACCTATCAAGTACCAGCAGCTGGGGAACAATGGATGGAAGGACAGAGCAGAAGAAGTGGAATAGAGCAAACAGAGAAAAGAAGTAATTTCTAAAGAGGCCCACCTGAAGCATGAAGAAATGCCTCAGATAAAAAGGTCGAGTTAGGAGAAGGAATACAGGAAGGCAGAGAGAAAACGACAAATATGCAAAAATAGGAAACCAAAAAGTGAAATAAAAAGTAAGGGGCTTGATCCACAAATTGGTCAATATAGATACCAATGAAAGCGAATTGAGAAAAAGAAAGAAAAAAGTCTACAAATCAGGACAAAGGGATTTATAAACAGGAAGGGAATGAGGCATTTGGGTGTGAGAGAGGAGTTTTTAGAGAAAGGAAACAGTACAAATTCAAAAGCCAAGCTAAACCCAAGAGACATGAGTCATGGAGTGATAAAATGAAAATTAATAAAGAACACAGGTAAAATGTAAGGAAAGGAACATACCTGATAATGAAATCCACAAAAGGAAAGGAAGGTTAAGTTCATTTCACAAATGGTAAGGTACTATCCAAAGCAAATTGGTGAAGGTCGCATTCCAAAAGATCATTCCTGACTGAGAAGAAAGAAATTTGGCTGATGGGATGGGAGTAGGAGGCCCAGTAAGCATGTGGTAATCCACAACACGTTGAATAATGGATGCACTGACCCTGATAGCTAACGAGCCTCCTAGAGCCATAGTAGAAATAAGGCCTAAGTGTAAATTAAGTCACTCACTCAGGACTAAGTATAAATCACTGTCTTTGAGAATGCACAATAAAAATTAAAGGTTTTGAAAGAAAAGCCAAGAAAAACAAATACAAGGTATTGTTAAAGATTCAAATTTCAATAAATTGAACTTAGACAAAAGAAAAAACAAAAAACACTTGATCAATACAATGCCAAGGAGAAGAATGAAGTTTATGAATGCAAATGCATATGGGGTGTTACTGGTGGAGAGTTTGTCGCATTATTACATCATCATGAAGTTGCACAATTCATGTTAAATCATTCAAAATTAAGTAGGAGTTGCCTAAAGCTAGTGCCATGCAAATCTCTTTGGCAAATGGACAAAAAAATATCTAAATCTGTGTGAAGAGATAAGAAATCTCTGAATTGTGAAAACCCTGTCACAGACATATTACAGTATGAATAACTATATATCTTGAAATGAATGAAATTTATTTCAAAAAATTATTTATATTCAATGATATGCAAAATAACTACCAATGTTAACTGTTTATTTATTGTAATCAATAAAACACTCATATAATTACCTGTAAACCTAAAAGGTATGACATTGTCTTGCCTGTGACTGGAACCCCCATAATGTAAACATGTGCTACTCTTGGAAAGTCTGTATAATAATTGACAAATAATGGAAATACAAGGCCAAACCTAAAAATACAGAAAACAAAGGTTAGTTTAACAAAAATATAAAAGAATAACTACTTTGGTAAAAATCTTTTTTTAGTGTTATCTTTTGCTTTTAGCTATTTCCATCCTATTATTACCCATGTTACTTTTGAGTTAATTATTTAAGCTTTTGTTGGTTTATTTCTGGCAGTTATTTTGATTTAAAAATAATTATTTCGAAAGAAATAATTACTAATCTGGGGTGCTCAAAGATTAAGCAATCCTCCTTCACCCCGCACGTGGACTAGGAGTATGGGCTTAAATTGAGAAACAAGAAATTAATGCAGACAAGCTTGTAAACTTAAAAAAGTAAACGTAAAAGTAGAAAGTAAAAAGTGAAAAGTAGAGTATACGGACAATATAGGACAGATGGTTCATCAGGGCGGCAGGGATCTGTAAATCCTATGCCAAGAATTTTATGTGGGGGGAAACAGGAGTATCCGAGAACACCCATATTTACTGGTAACGACCAATCCATTACCAGTGCCTGGTTAGCAAGAAGAAGTAAGTTGGGAAGGCAAAGAGAAGTCCGGTGCTGGGGGTTGATTAACTTTTCAATGAGTTGTGGATTCTCCTGATGTTCGCCATGGTTTTATTGGGGTACAGGTTCAGGTTATGGGATGGTTTTAAAGGCGTGAAGCCCTCGGTGTCGCTGATGTGTGGGCGGAAGGCACTGAAAGGTTCGTCGGGTAGGTAGAGGTCAGGGGAGGTGTGAATTACTAGAGCGTTGGGTGAAATTGATGACGATGGTGTAGAAAGTAGCATGGGGCTGAGAGGCGGGTTGCTGGTTTGCTGACAAGCGTCGTTGGTTACTGGAAAGACTGGTGGCTGGGTCTAGGTGCCTTTTTTCTCCTTGTAGTGGTGGTTTGGGTCGCCTTGTCTTGTGTTTCAGGAGTGGGTGAAGTTTGAGTAGCCTGGTCAAGTGTAATAGGATAGGTGGTAGAGTACTGGTTGGCGGTGGTTTTCTTTTGTGTGTTGTGGAACATGGGTTTGGGGGTGGGCTGGGAAAGGTAGGGGTGGGTGAGACTTTCGGTATGGTTTTTCTGCTTTGATGTGATAGTAATCAAGATAGCAGCCATGGGTGAGGATGGAGTCTGCGGTTATCTTGGAAGTTGTGACAACTTTCATGAAAGTGTAGGGTGAACTTGTTTTCTTTGATGAGATACGTTGGGCTGCGTGGATTGTAGAGTTGGTTGTAGTTTCGAGGGCTTGATGAATTTCCTCTGGCGTAAAGGATAAATTAACGTTTCTGAGAAATATTGTGTGGAGATTGGCATTGCTTTTATGGGGTTGGCAAGTGATGGGTGGGTTTGAAGACTAAGGGTGGCGAAGGTAGTGGAAGTCTTCGAGTGTCTTGGGCTGGAGGAGTATATCTCCCTTATGTAGACGATGGGTGCACTCAGGGAATACTCAGGCTTGGGGCTTGTAGTGGCGGATGAAGTTGACTGTGTCCTGTGGCCAGAAGTCTAGTGGTAGTCCGTGATAATTAACGGCAGCATAGGGTAGGAGACAGTCTGCATACAGGCATGTATCATGGTCGATAGCTAACGAGTGAATCATGATGTGACGTGACATGATTTAAGCTTTTATTTATTGTACAAACTTTTATACATCTGCACTTACAAATTTCACAGTTTGTCTATTTTGTCATCTCCAAATGTTTAAGTTACAACTACAGGATATTTACACTATTCATTTAGGCTAGAAAATATTATGAAACATCACAACAACAATAATAATGGTCTTTTACAACTTAGTTTACCTAACCCAATGTGGATATCTAGTGAGAAGAGTGTATGAATAGGACTTAAATAACATATTTACTGTGGGCAACTACAAACAAAGTCTTTTACTCAGCACTAGAACACATTAAACCAGCTAGTCTACAATACCTATAAATATTATATTACATGTTTCACACAAAAATATGAAACCCTATAACTCAATCACTTTTGAAAGGTGAACCTTTTTTCATCACCAGTAAACTGGGAATTCTAGTTTGCCCCTAATGAGAAAGTCCATCTATTGAAAGCGCATGGGGATCATAGGGTTGTTAATTTTTTACTTTAACTAATTTTTTTAATATATGTTTTCTATCATCACAGGTTTTACACAGGTATATATAAAAACAACATGATTTAATAATTTTGTCATATTATACTTACGGCCCACTAGGCAATGTAGTAACATGAAACTCAAGCTTCCTTAGAATAAATACAGAGGCAAGTTCCAACAATGTTGCTAGAGTGAAAGTTGCAAGAAGATACGACTGAAAAACAAAAAAAAAGAAGAAACAAAGGTTTCTTAAGTTCAAAATACATTCAAAATCATTGTATGAAAAACAGATAATGTATGTTTTATTCATACAAAATAACACTTCATAAGAAATGTATTTAGTATAAATAGTTATTCGTTCTTAAATATGCCATTTTCGGCTTTTAAAATTCTTAAAAAGCTAAATATATTAATATATATAATTTTCCATTTCTTCAACATACTGTATTGACTGCAAGAAATAAGTTGACACTTGCATTGTTGAGTAATTTAAAAAGATTTTATATACAAAAACCTAAAATTAATATAGTGTAGGCAAATTTTCTATTCATGAACAAAAAACAACTAATATGTAGATTATCACTGTAAGACAATACAAGTAAGGAAGGTAATGCAAGACAATCAGTTAAATGAGATTTCCTTTACTCTTGAAAAACATGTATAAAGATCAGCAATTCAAACTAAAGTACTGAAGTAACTGCTGTTAAAGAAATAAATTGATACCTCTTGAAAGCCACTGATTCTAATATTTTAAAGAATATAAGGAAGAAGATAAAGAATGTTTTAAATACCACCTTTTCATGTTTCTTGATTATGGAGAAAATCCTGATATCTCAGAAATTACCAATGTGGTACTATTTATCAACTCTTCCATTATGGGCTGGGTGTAATCCACCCAGCTCGTAACCACGAAAGTATCCATGAGAGTACTTACACTATGATTTTTTATATCATATGCCCAATTTTACAAAATTTTGCAGGTAATTGGTAAACGTTACAAGGTCTTCGTACACAAGATACCAGGTTTTAAAATTAAGTATTATGATTTTTTAATTAAAGATTTTTTTCGTAAATCTTTTTCTTTCAGAATGTTGACTATCAAACATGCAAAGCAATTTTAATTTTAAGAAATATTTTAATGTATTAGAACATTTTCATACTTCACATGAGAAATCTTTATAATCTCCAGATAATTATCAAATTTTTTTAGAAAATCTTTATATTTTATTTCTTATTTGACTGACTTTGTAACCTCGATAAAAAATTAGAAAAAAAATAAAAATTATAACATAAAAACACAAATGTTTAGTCTAAATAGCTTAAATCTCATAACATTATACATTTATATATATCTATTATTTTTATTATATTGACCTTGCAGCCGTGCCTAGCTAACAAATCAGAAGCTTCAATGACATGGTGCACGTGCACTTGTGTTACTGTATCCAATAATATATAACTGACCTTTATCCTTTACAAAGTGGCTGTGTTTCAGTGGACTAGTATTTTGTAAAATACAGTCACATTTCAATTATTATACATTATATACATGTATATAGATTATTAATATTTACAAATAAATTCTTATTAAACTTATTTTTTCTCAATAGAAAATATATAGAAATATAGAAAATAGAAATAGAAAATACTGTTTCATAGAACAGTAAAAAAGAAGTAAAGCAAACAATTCTCTCTTCTAGTTACGACCTTTGTACTAGTTTGTCGTAGGTTTCTAAGCCTTATGAAATTTTCCACATGGAGGATATGAAAAGACATTTTTTAGGTTTTATATATATATATATATTTTAAATAACCAAAAAACCTCAAATTACTACATCAGTACCATAGAATTCCACTATAATTTATCTAGTGTAGTAACTCAACTGTATTTGAGCTCACTAAAGACTTAACTCATCAATTGAAATCTTGTGTGAAAAAAAAACGAAATTAGCACAATAACACATCAAAATGGCTGAGAAAACCACTAGGTGGGACATTCTGAGCTTTTGATTGGTTATTCATATCATATATATATAAATAAATGGAAAGAGGTAGGAGGGGGGCACTGTGTTTGATTCTGTACAGGAGTGATATCTAAGCAAATAGAAAAGATAAGAGGTTTTTATTTTATATTCTAGCTTGTCAATATTGGTAGTTTGAGTTCCTAATTTGTATAAAACTGTAAATTTTGTATTTTGACAACACAAACATCTAATTTGAACCAGTTTTTGCATCACAATGCTTCTAGCAAAATTAACTATACTTAGTTAAAACAGTTACTAAAAAACTTCACCAATTACTCTGCAGCTCATCAATTGTAAACGTATCTCCCATGACTTTAAGTCTGTTCAATAGATGTAATTAGCTTCAATTTTCATTCATATCCTTGCTAGTTATTCATTTAATGTTTGCACCCTGCTCAAAACTTCCTGCCTACACCTAATCCAAGGAAAAAACTCCTGACGAAAGCTACTCAATGATGTCTATCCTCAAAACTTCTTACATGTTTCTATCTCCTCTGATCTTTACCAATATATTATTAGCTCCAAAGATTCTACTTTTCTGTTAAAAGAAATTTAATACATATTTTCACAGACTTAATCAAATCAAATATATTTATTCATGTGAATTTCTGCTATTTGAATATGGGTTATAAGTGAATTTCTACTATGTCAAAAATCAGTCTTCATAAAATGTCAAGAGTATCACAGTCTGTTAACACATATTTTAGCAGTACAACAGTAAATCAAGACTATTATCTGAGATATACCTCGACAATGTTTCATCAAGAACATTTATAGAATTATAGTTTTGTTAAAATACTTTAAGATAATAGGCCTACAATTTTAGCCAACACAACTTTAATTGAGTTTAAAATAAAAGCACTATGTAGATGGTTTTCAAGTGTGATAATATGTGATCCTTCACACAAATTCTAAGCCTAAAATATTTACGACAATTCATCCCCTACATTCATATATGTTACCATTTTGTAATGTTTCTTTAGCTGTCAAGAAGACTGCATAATTTCCACTTTTGAAAATATGTGAATTTAAAAATACAACAAAAATTAAACAAATAATGATAGATCAGCCACCAGATTTTAATGCAGAATATCTTGAGATCTTATTTTATAAAATGTTGATGAAACCTTAGTGTGTTGTAAACAACAAAAAAACAAATAAATACTGAATGCATGAGCACTTACTGAAAACTTGTGAGAACCATACCGTCGTTCAAAAATTCTGAAATAATAGATCAAGAGAGATCCACAAACAAGATCTTTGGTATCAAGAAAACAAATCTTTGAAGTAATTACACGCCATACCTAAAAAAAAAGAAAGATCAGAAAAATATCACTATATTAACACTTTCCAATTGCTTCACTAACATCTGAACTCATCATTATGTAACTTCTAGTTGTGTGGTCTGATTCAACCTGCTCAATCAGAATTGTAGGTACAGCTGAATTTGTGCAGACCTTTCTTTCTTTTGAATCTTTATTTATGAAATGAATGAACACGTTTAAATGACAAAATGTATTGAAAAAGCAGTCAAACACTGATTGCAATGTAAACACTTATCTAAACTTATTACATATTGAACTTAACTTATTGTGAAACATTTCCAAACATAGCAACAGCTTCTTCTTCGTTCTTTTGGTGAAATCCACCAACAATTCATGATGACCCCTACCATTTCCGGTTTGATAACTTTTACGGTATAGTGAATTCAGGCTTTAATGAAGTAATCAGTGTGTAGCAGAACATAAAAACTTGAATATTTGAGTTAAAGATAGACCAAACATAATACATTCATTAAAAATTCCAGGGAGAAGATTTTTATAAATTCTATTAACAAGAAAGTTACTTTAAAAAAGATAAAGCTCCTATTAATAAAGCTTTGATTTAGGGGAGATTGGAGAATTTAACAGTTATCATTAAAAGTTTTAAAAAATTTCTGAACCAGGGCTTGAAACAAATTTTTTATACAACTGGCAAACATTTACTGGTTATTTTAAAAATTATTCACAACAGTGCCAGCTGTGGCGACAAAAACAAAACTTGTATGCCTTTAGTAGAGTAATTAGACTATGACTTAATTGATGACCGCTATTAGTGGTTTGAAGAGTATTTCAATTTTAATTCTCTGTATTTAATGATTATCATGAGTGATTTAAAATGAAAAAAAAAAGGAGTCCTGTGAGGGATAATTTTCAAGTAATTGGCAATTTTAAAGTGAAGTGCAAATTGTATAGTTTATTAATTTAGTGTGGAAAGCAGCTTCTCCTATCCCAATGTACAAACACCTGAATATTAAGCATGCTTAAGACTATAAGAATTAGAAACAAAATTCAAAGTCTGCTGGAGATATAATATTGAAGGTGAAAATGTGACTTTAAATTCCAGTAATGATTTCCAAACAACAAACCATTCAGAAGTGTTACTAAAAACTAAACTATGGTACATTAATTATCTTAATGCTAAATAGTTAAACTGTGCTATCAGTGAAATGAGTGAGATTAGGACAGCTAAATGAGCAATAATATTTCAAATTTGCAGATGATACAAAGATGCTCAGAAGGGTTAATTTGATTAAGTATTTATTGTGTACGTATTTAGAAAGTTTGGATGAGCTAAGTGACAATGTGAGAGATAAGTTTTCAATGTAAGAAGTATAAAGTAACTGCAGTTGTGTGAAAGAAGCACCAATTTTTTTGAAAAGAGAAAGTTTAAATAACATTTAAAGATCTCTACAAATGCAACCTATTAATAAAAATTTTCAATGGTTACTGTAACAATGTACAAAATCATGGTTAGACCTAATTTAGAATACTATGCATATTCAAGTTTTTCCCACTACGAGAAGATATCAACATGTTGGAAAAAGTGAAGATACTAGAATGATATTAGGAACAACTTACCATATTTAGGCTAGGAAAATGGATTAAAAAGTTGGCTGGTTTTCTCTTACATATAGAAGAACTAAAGGTAACTTCATTCAGGACTGGAGTAGTAATTTAGATGTGGTTTATTTGAATGGCAGAAGTTATAATTTTTCTATAGTGAAAGTGTATGCTCGCATGATGCATGTGACTCCCTCTATACTCCTCTACCAAACTATTACTTCAAAATTTGGCAGAAGATGTAAGTACCAGAGTAAAGTGGGAAGGAAGGGTGGGAAGTGTGAGAAGAGGGAAATACATTTTCAGTATAGGAAAATTAAAAAAAATTTGCTCATAAAATTAGCTAGAATCCGTCATTGAATACAAGGAGGGACAGGTGCGAGGGAATGATAGAAGTACCCCCCGAAAGTGCCAAAAGGATATCCCTGGAACTGAGAGAGTCAGATCCAAAGATCAGATGAGAGGAACCAAATCACTTCTGAACTAGTTATACTCTTCGTCCCTCCATGAAATGTGGAGAAGATAATAGCAAAAAGGAAAGGAGTACATTTAAGTGGGAGAGAACTGTGTCAGGATCGTGTTATGATCCATATAAAATAAATATAACTCAATCCCATGAATAGAAAAGTGGGTAAAACAACGGATGTGCCCTCAGATGTAAAGTGGCCCGGGTGTGACAGACCATACTAGGTAAGTCAACTACTACAAAAACCTATGGTGCTGGGAACCAACATCCACGTGGGGTAGGATGAGGATCATACCATCTTCACCTCAAACCCAAGAGACCAGGGGATTGAGAATTACGTTGTCTCCTAGGTATGACACCAGTATTAGCACTGAGCTATCGATTCAGGGACTCAACATCTGGTATCAAAAGGATGTCTATTGCATGCAATCAACTCCCCCAACCAGAAACTGACCAAAACCATCCAAAAGGCAATAACATCCCCATATTATGATAGGACGAGGGAGAGCCAATGGAGAAAACCATAACAATCTCATGTACCACTCCTGTGACCCACAACACAGATGGAGGAAAATCAAGAGAGGAAGATAGACAACCCAAAATGTGTGTGAAGACTAATGTTGATTGGTTCTACTCTAAATCCAAAACCCAGCCATCAGGTACTGACATCCGATGAGGGCTCCCAATCGAAGGGGGGAAATTTTGACGTAATTGTATATCGCAAAGAGGAGGACAGTATGTCATCTACACCCGCAGAACACCACCGCCCTACTCTGCACTGAATGGTATAGTGTGAAGCCATAGAATATAAAGCACGAGTCAACATGACTGTATAGTGCAAATTTCAAGTTAAAGAGCATTTGGTCAGGCACCACTCACCACAGAGTAGGATCCATATAATGGGGAATGAAGAAAAAGCCCCTGAAAAGAAAATATGAATAGAAACTTACCAGTCAGAGTCACACCGAAGTCTGAAGAATGGCCACAGATGGAAGACGAAAACCCAATGAAGAAGAAATCATGATATAATGTAGATAATGGGGGATGAGTGTATAGAATTTCCTCCAATGGACGACGAAGACGAGAAACAAGGGAAAAGGTGAGGTGTCTAATCTGATGAGAAGACACCTGGAACAATCTCCGGGAGGAAGAAAGCAAGGAGGAATAAGCCAATTGGATCAAAAGTCAGACCCAATTTGTAAGGGTTGAAGGTGAAAGATCACGAAGAGAGGAAGACTGCCAGGTGATACAGAGTCAGGAACGGGTACTACGGAAGGAAGCCGTAAGGGCAATATAACAATGAAGATTCCTGACCAGGTACAGAAGCCTATCCAAATTCGGTTGAGGGTAAAGATGTGAAATGGAAAGAAGGAAAATAGGCGAAAAGGAGGTGCTACCCTCCTGAGCCACTGAGGTCTTTGGGAGGAAGGAATAATCTGAGTAAAAGATAAGATAGTTAGGGTGATAAAGTGTATGTGAAACATCAATGGCAAACAAATCCGACCATCGATGTCCACAGGCAAAGAGGAGAAGGAAATATGTTTTAAGAGAAAAATGAAACATGGAACACAAGGAAAGTGGTTCAAACAGAGGTAAAGTGAGGGAATGGAGTACCACATTAACATCCCAATCTGGAAGGGTAGGTTGTGTGGGAAGGTGATGCAACCAGAAGGAACACAGTAGCATGGTAAAGACAAGTGAAGTAAAAACTCTAAGATATCAGGAAAAACAAAAGGTATGGGAAAAAGCCACCCAATAACCCAAGAGCGAGGAGACGGAGAACCTCTGGTCAAATAGCCAAGTGAGAAATTATGCCACCCGAGCCACAGTAGGCTGGACAGCGGAAAATACCCGAGTTGTAAACAAACTGTGGAACTTCTTCCACTTGCATTGATACACCTCTATAGAAGAAAGACCTATGGAACCAGCTAAAAGGAAAGTGACTTGATGGGAGAAACCAGATCTCCTCACCAAGGACCAGATAAAAGCCAGGTATGAAGATGCAGGATGTAGGACCAGTGACCGAGGGTGATAAAGAAGGTAGGGAGATGATGGAAGAGGTACAGGAGGGGAAAGTAGCAGGTGCTATAACCATGAAAACCACAGCTGAGCTGGCCAATAAGTAGCAATCAGAAGGACCCAACAAGGAGTGGTATAGATGAGAGAGATAACCCAATTAACTAATCGGATAGGAGGATAAACAAAGATAATTGTGGAGCCAATCTTGGCTGAAGGCATCGACTGCCAGAGCCTGAGGGACCAGTGACCAAAAGAGAGGGAACTTGTGATTGTGGCTCATATTAAATGCATCCACATGGGAAGAACCCTACCGACTGCAAAGCTCCCTGAAAACAAAGGGATCTAAGGACCACTCTGTCACATATATCCGGTCAGAGTGGGAAAGATGATCTGCAGCAAGATTGAAAGCACCCGGCACATGACACACAATGAGATGAATGTGTTGTGTGTGGGCCCAGTATAAGAGATCCAACATCCGAAAACAGAGAGTTCTCAACTGGGTGCCTCCTTGGTGACTGATATGTGCCACCCCCATAGAATTATCGAAATGAGCCATCACCAGACAATGTCGGGTGAGAAGAATGAAGTGATTCAATGCTTGTCATACAGCTAAAGGTTCGAATATGTTGATATGCAAAGCACTTTCATCCACAGACCAACAGCCCAAAGCTGTTGGTGTTTCGCCCATGCACCTCAGCCCTGCAGGGATGCATCTGTAAAAAGATGTAGATCCAGATGCTGAAGCATGTGCCTTATCCAACCACCAAAGCAGATGGTCTTGCAGGGTAAGAGGAAGGGTAATGTGAGTAGAAAGAGGATCCCATGCAAGGTGCCATTGATCGTGCAGAGCTCACTGAAAGGATCTCATATGAGCAGGACCAAGAGGGACCAGTGATGTCATTGAAGACCATATCCCCAAAAGCGATAGAACCTCGTGAACAGTAAGTGATGTAACACAGAGGGTGTGGCAAACTAACAATTCCATAGAACAAAGTCTTAAAGGAGAAGGCTCGACCCGACTGATACGAATGTCAAAAAAATACCCCCCAAATGGATGAAATTTTAAGTAGGTCTGAGGAAGGACTTCTCCAGTTTGATTAACCAGCACACACAAGCAGCCACTAAAAGGAGCTAATAAGTATGGCTGGCTAACTCTGGTTCAGAATGAGCCAGAAGAAGCCAGTCATCCATGTAATAGTGAAAACTCAACCATAGAGCATGAAGACATCAAGCAAACACTCGGACTACCCAACAGAAAACATAAGAGGCCAAAGCAAGCCCAAACGGTAGGGCTCAAAATTGATAAACCACCCTGAGATGGACAAACTAAAGATAAAGATGGGACCAAGTTGAAATAGGTATGTGGAGATAAGCATTGGCAACATCCATTTGGGTCATCCATAAACCCAGAGAAAATGCCCACCTCAGGGTGAAAAAAGACTCCATGGTAAACAGGAGCAGGTAAATAAAGCAGTTGAGGTGAGATAAATCTATGATCAGTCTCTAGTCCACGGGCATAAAAACATGTTGAAGGAAAGAAAACAAGTTTGATGGGCTGCTGAGATAGCAATTTCTGAAGCGCTATCGACAGATGTTGACTAGTCACAGGATACTGAGGAGGAGGGAAGGAAACGAGGAAAGGAGATACAGGAGGTGGGGAAAAAAAGGGGATCACGTATCCTTCTGATAAAACCTTGAAGAACCCATTGATCTTCAACGAAGGAATGCCAGTGATGAAGAAAATCAACAAGCCAAGCTCCCACTGGACCAAATCATACTGGGTAGTCACTGGTACTGTTGGCGATGTGACGTGTGTCAAAAAAAATATAAAAATGACGAGAAGAGGCACCCCGAGAAGAAGGGACAAGTAAGGGAAAGGACAGAAATGGTAATAGGTGGCATATGGGGCTCCGACTGAGACAAATGTGTAACAATATTGATAAGAATAAATTGTTGTTGGACTGAAGCCACCCATGGCTCTAGTGTTTCTGGGATCATGTCAAAAACATATCACCACAGAAATTGGGCCCAAACGCAAATCCCGAAGAATAGTCAATGGTAAATGGACCTGAGCCAAAATCGCATCATGACCTAGAAGGTCCAAGAACAGAGAAACCATGTATGCAAAGTCAGAGCTGAAGACGACAAATGAGCTAGTGTGGAGGAAAAAAGGGAAAGAGTATCCCCAGAAAACCCCTTAGGATTTCTGTGGAGAGCCTCAGAGAGGAAGTGTAGAGATGAAAGAAACTGTAAAAGAGTTGTAAGGGTAAGACGCAGATGAATATAGTGGGCATGGGTCAGACTGACAGGTGATTCAGGAGCCACCCCCAAACATGTAATATGGAACCTAACAACTGTTGGTTGAAAAAGGGACAGTCAGGAAGATGGTATGAACGTGCAAAATGATCTGAAGGCTGCGGGGGAAGAAGCATGCTAATCCCATCAGTTAATTGGATGGCAAATTGATCAGCATGAACCCAAATATCAGGGGATGGAGTAAAAACCAAAAAGGGATTGGAAGATTGGTCATGTAGTAAGGAAAGACGTGGCTAATAAGAAATAGGAGAAAGGGATATAATGTCACATACCTGAGAAACAAAATCCAAAAAGACCGTGTTAGGTCTAAATGATTCCTCAGGTGGAGGATGGGAAGATACAGCAAAATCAGAAGGCTGAAATAGACGATCTAAGTCCTCGTCAGTCTGAACAGGCTTCGCCTGTTTGGGAGGAATTGGGCGAGGTCTGGCCCATGTAATTTTCGATCTCCTAGCAAATGAACACGGATAAATCTATCGTCAGGTCGCCCACAACCGAGATCTGAGAAAGAATGCTAGTCACTGGTGTGACCCCTGAAGTAACATGAACTTTGAAATTCATAGTGAAGAAGAGTCCACTAAATTCAAGCAGTGAAAAAGAATAATGCATCTAACTGATAAACTTTTAAAGTTAAGAAACTGTCTGAATGAAAACTAAATAAATTAAAGAAAACCTCTTTGTAATGAAACTTAAGCTGAACATGAATTGTTAAATAAACAAGAAGGAGGTCCGATTACAAGTGCTACCAAACACGAAGTGATAGTTCGATAAAGGATTATAGAAAGTCACATGCGTCACGTATGTGATTCTCCTATTGGTGGAGAAGTGACGCATGATGATTTGCATGAGACACATATTGGAATTTTTCAATTCCAATAGGGAGAAGCAGAAGGCTTGTAGCATGCATATAGAAAAAGTTTGTATACTGAGGGCAGCAATGAACAAGAATAGCTAATTTTGTGAGCGGAGGTAGGTATCATATCGGAATGACAAGTTTCGAAATTGAAACTTGTATATTACGAAGCAACAATTGTGAACTTAAAAAGTCCAATTTTAGATCTATCATTTTAACAAAATAGCTCTTTTTATTGGTGATCTGTTATGCTGATTCCGTCAGCATGACTACTTTTTTCAGCAATTTTATGATGTTACACTTTTGGAACAAACTCACTTCTGTGATTCAATGTAGTTTACTGCAAACAGACAAACATGAGTAGAATGCACTTCGCTAGATATCAACATTAGGGGCTGCTATTGTCCAGTGCTACTACTGATTAGAAAATTCAGTATTTTTACCATTGCAATGTAGTACTACTAAAATCAAATCATCATCAAATCCCAATTTTAGTATCCTGAACTACCAAATTTTCAGTAACACAGTCCAATACAGGAATTTAATTTGTTAAAAATGCAAATTAATTTTTTGCTATCGCCACAATAAAGATAATTCTAATTTAAGTGTATATATATATATACACTTGTATAATAGTTCACCTCAATATTTTGTCTGTGTTGTTAGCTATGTACAGCACATATAGGAGTATATTAAATTTTGATACTGAATGAGCATATGGATACTTAGGGATATATCTAAATTAATGTAAGTGTTTGTTTTGCAATCAGGTGGAGTAACCTTGATAAGTATAAAAGGATTCTTGTCACTTTACTTTAATTCCTATTAAATGCATGAAATATATTAGTCACAAAGCATTATCATTTACTACTGTATCAACTCAAATATTTAGTTTGGTGTGATATTTAACAAAAAATTCTATATTCAATCTTAGGTTGAGGTTCAATTTACAAGACATTTAAACTTAACAGCAGGAAAATTATTGTATCTTTGTATAAGAGCAGAGAGGCCTCGTTCAGACTTTTTTCTCTATCACGTAAAAGAACTGGAGATGATTCGATTCAGGAATTCAAAACTCAGAGTTTGGCCAGTTGTCTTATGGACAATCTGAATAATGGAATGAAAAGTTTGGAAATAAAAACTTGGATATTAGAAGTGATAGTTTTAAACTTTAAAACCCTAGATGTAGACTTGTTCTTCTATAAAATAATTTTCTGATATGAGATAAACTCGTGAAATGCTCTGTCAAGGAATGTGGTATGTGCTGTTTGTTTGAAAAAAATTTAATTTGTATATGAGTGTGGAAGGTTACATTTATTTAGTATTGATGTTTTTGTTTTCATGGATAAGATGTGCCCCGCAAGGGCCAAAAATCTCACCTTAATTTTGTCAAGTTCTTATTAAAGTCATGAGGAAAACTAAATAATCAATTAATACTTTAGATCAATATTTTGAAAGTGACATCTCTTCCATGTTTGAATTAAAACTGACACCTTTCAGACATAAAGTTACAACACAGGAAACAGAAGAAAAACAATAACATACCTCATATTTATCGAAGATATCAGACACATTGTAGACAACAAATTGCTTTATATGTGCTAAAAGTGGAACATTCAGAGCCAATGAGGTTATAAACATACAGCCCAATAGTCCTTTTGACACTGGTGCTTTATCTGTATACAGCAAAGGGAAATCAGACAAAGCATACTGTTATTAACTTACAATGCACATATAAAAGATGTAATTAACAACAGGGATTTCAGAATCAAATTACACACACACACACAAATTTCACTCTCCAATTCTTACAATAGAAAACTTAATTTGTATAATCCATGTACATTACAAAAAAAATGAGTGAAACAGAACCAGCTTAATGTCCTTTCATTCACTTCTCAGTTATAAGCACTAAAACTCAAAAGAGCTCCAATGATTAAGAACTTCTGGTAAAGTTGTGTCTATTGGATATTAATAGTTTTCATAGTTAATAGCCTATATGAGCATCTAAGTCTAATTATCAAACAGTAAATTTATTATTATTATTAATTACTGCTTTTACTTATGTACATTAATGACAATCATATGGTCATAATAAGCAAGTTAGTCAGGTTTACTGATGATAGTTACTTTTGCATATTTCTAGCTGTATTGAGGATGATGAGTGCAACAGAATAGCATGGATCAAGTGTTAAGTTGGACAAATTTCCTTTAATTTGGGTTATCATAATTTTAATCTCATCTTAATATAATAGGACTTAATACCATGACTGTAGAAATAGATTTTGGCTTTGTGGTGGATAAGTCACTTAAGCCACTGAGGTAGTGCTATGTTGCCAGTAGTAAAGCTAATAAAATTTCAGTCTTTTTTTTAATTTTTATAAACATATTGATTACAAATCAAATAAGAGGTAATTTTCTCTTCATACAAATCAAGTTAGGCCTCACATGCAATACTGTCTGCAATACAGTTTTAGTTTCTTTATCTGAGAAAGGATATTGACTTATTGGAAAGGGGTACAGAGAAGGGCTACTTGGATGATTCCTGGGATGGAAGGGTTATGTTACAGGTACAGGTTAAGATCTCTCTAGAAAAGAAAAGAAGAAAATAATCTTATTGAAGTTTATTGGGGGAATTGATAGGATAAAAACTTATTTTTTCATGCTGAACTCCAAAAATAACCAGAACAAGACACTCCAAGCATAAAATTTGACAAAAAAACAGGCTAGACACCAGTTACCACAATTTAATTTTCCTAACATGGTGACCAACTTATGGAATAAATTGTCAATGGTAGTAGTACAGTTCTGCACTTTACAGAAGTTTAAGGGAGGTAACAGATGATTTCCTGACAAATAAAGGGTGTATTTAAAGTTTTACTTTTCTCAAAAGCAGGTGTACAAGGTCAGCCTTAAACAACCAAATGGTCCCTTGTCTGTATCTTAAAGTATCTTTTGTGTGAACTTTCAATAACTGAATTCATGTATCTGACAAATATGCACACACTCTTTCAACTACCTGACTTATAACAATCAATAAAACATTTTATAATTAACTTCGAGTTTGCAATGGCTTGCCTACTTCATTTGATATAACTAAGAGTAGGTATTAATTGTTATTAAATTAGCATCTTTAAATATGTCATGTTATTGTTTAATATAGTAAATAGAAATTTAAATATAAGAATTAATATTGTATAACAAGGATTTATAAATATTTCCTGCTTCAAATTATGTTAAAAGTTAATAAGCTCAATTATTACAATTTTGAATAATTTTCTATATGTTTCTTACAGATTACAGTATGTAGCAGAATTGTTTTTTTTTTGTTTTTTTGGAATATCTGAAGTATGATATTTATTCCATGTTAAGCTTGGGCCTTCAAGGTTGTCTCTACAAAAAAAAAAGGGAAGTCTGAATTACAACTTCAAAGATAATGGCCTTCTCTACTGCCAATGGCACCTCATTCCATAAGCTATCAAGCTGTTGGGAAAATAAAACTGTCTTAACATTGGAGCTTAGCCTGTTTTTCAAAAATTTAAAGTTGAAAAAAAGAGAAAATAAGTTATGAGAACTTAGCGCAATAAGTTAACCATTTCATTACTGGAATCATCATAGTAACCTTAATCTGAACCTTTTCATTTACTAAAAATCCTTTCTTAAAGGTAAACGTAAAATATGGAGACAAAAAGTTGAAACTAATCAATATTCTAATGCCTAACTAGGTCTGGTATTAAGATAATTATCTCCTTTGATCTGTATTTATAATTAGTATTATATAAAAGTAGATACTGATTACAAAATCAAAACAGTCGAAACTGAAAATTATTTCTAGTATTATTCATATAATGTTAGTAGTAGTACTAGTAAACAAGCAATACTAACACTACAACTCGAGAGTAGTACAAGTAGTTGCATCTATAAACGATATCGCCTTTATGTTTATCGTCCAAACACTGAACACACTAAAACTATATATTAAAAATAAGTAGACTACAGTATTCCTATTAATATAACTACTAACTGAATCCCCGTGTTAGTCGATAGATTCACGAGATAACTACCAGTACCATTTATAAGTATATACATTTTTCACGGATCATGACAACGATTATAAATTATTTATTTATTTATACACAAAGTCTCCATTTATACTATTATTATTATAATACTTATAGTTATATAGCAATGAGTACAGCATAATAAATGTAGTACTTATACAATCTAGTTTTCTACTTACAGAATCCTATAGTACTGTAATGAGATAGGATTGCTGCCATAGTGGTTCCTTATCTTTATTTATTTTTTAAGCCTTGAAAAACTTAAGTCAGAAGTTATATTACTAAATACTAGTTTATTCCTATGAGATATGAGATGCGTAAAATACAAACAGAAAGGTCCCAAATGCTTGTCACAAAACCAAGAATAGCTTAATTTCACCAAAAGTACACAAAGAGGAAAACTGAATACAAAGATATAGACAGTAAATAAACACGATAAAAATTTTTCAATAAATAAATTAATAAGTATTATTTTTCGTAGATAAAAAAAATAGAGTGGTTGAAAATATGTAATTTCTACAAGTATTTATTTGAAAATAAACCTTACAATATAAAAATTTAATTACAAAAAAGTTTATAATTTTTAATAAATAAATATAAAGCAAAAGTTAATTGTTAAAACTTAATATAGTGTGCCAACAAATAAAATATATTAAATAAAATACATAAAACAATAAATAAATTGCAAAGGAGATTTAATTATTATTATCTCTAGAACTACAATATTGTTACGACAGCGGAAGTCACGTGACCCTAGTAACACGTCATTAACTTCTAGAAGGATCCTGTCCCTTCCTGAATGCTCTGGCGTTTACTAGATTTCGGTATACTTTTATATATAAGACAGTCAAGACGTGACAGGAACAAGGTAATGAGTAATTGACAGTTGAGTCGAGCACGTGAGACGTTCGTTGTGAATTATAGCGTTTGTTATAGCGCGACTGTGGAAATTAAGTGTATCGCAAAGTTGTATTCAGAAAGAATAAACCAGTTTTATTTAAGAAAGGACTTGTATGGTTAAAGTTTCTTCGGAAAGAATTTTTACGGAAAATTAACTAACGAACGGAGGCGTAACAAATTGGTGTCAGAGAGTGGGACAAAAAAAAATGGAAACAAAAAGCGGCAAACCAAACTACAGCTTAGCAGAGTTGATGGCAGCAAAAGAAACAAGAAGAACGAGAAAATAAACAAGAAGAGAGACAACAGCAGTTGCAAGAAAACCTGCAACAGTGGCAGCTGGAACAGCAAAATAAACAAGAGAGATTACAGCAGTTGTTGGAGGAAAAACAAAAGAAACAAGAGGAGAGACAACAGCAGTTGCAAGAAAACCTGCAACAGTGGCAGCTCGAACGACAAAAATAAACAAGAAGAGAGATTATAGCAGTTGGTGGTGGAAAAAGAAAAGAAAGAAGAAGAGAGAGTACAACAGTGGCAACTGGAACAAGAAAGGAAACAAAAAGTACAAACGGAAAACGCCTTCCCATCGAATTCCCGTGGCTTCCTTCGTACTGGATCACCCCTATTGCTGACATTCATATCTGGGATGTGACTTCTAACAGGACTGAAGATGTCTGCATTAGGGTTTAGCTGCGGGGTCTAGAAGGGGCTTCCCATTGTCTGGGGCTGATTAAGTCGATAGTTAATGTATCCTCCTTGTGTAAAAGACAATAAATCATCTTTTAATGTATTTAATTCGCTTTTAAATTTACTAATAACCGTGGGAAGCATATAG